GGATGAGGCACGAACCGGTGAAGCAGGTTCAAGCCCCCCTTCCCGGTTCTGTCATCCATTGGGCGTGCAAATTTTACCCCATGGGGTGAATTTCATATGCTCACGACAGCGCAAACAACCATTATTAGAGTAATCATCCCGAGTATATTAAACGTAATATCCACTATGTACAGTGTGTGTGTGTGTCTGTGAGTGAGTGAGTGAGTTCAGCTCCGATTCAACTAAGCAATTATCATCAACACGCTCATAGTTAAGTTATTGCAGATACTCTGTGAGTCTGGTCACAATTACGGATCCGTCTCAATAGATATCACGACAGAATTCAACACTACTGATTTCCGAAGTGTATTTATTTTGTTCAATTGATATATTTCGTTAAACCGCAAATCGTGTTGGTGTTGTTTGGCATTTTAAGGAAACAGATTTTGTTGAAATGGGTTGTAAAAGAAGCAACTGTTTGTATTGCACACGCTAACGTGCTCCGATCTCATCAGAGATGGCAATTCCCAGACGATTTTTTAGTCTACGTTTTAATGCACATAATTCTATCAATACTATCCAGAACAGTGTCGTCCTACATTCTCTGGAAGATGGACGGAAAAATTATGCTTATGCTTGTTTTTCAAGTCTAAAAAGACATTATTCATCTGTTAGGAACCCAGATTTCTGGAAGATCGATTGTGATTAATTTATGTATCGAAAACAAACCTGAAAGGTTTAAAACCACATGCATATATCTTTTTATCGAGCGACTAGTAATTTATTTTAGTCGTGGTCATTCATTTTAGTTGGAGCCACGGAACTGATCAAATCTGAAAGGGATCGTTTTAACTAGAGAGTGGCTATGGAACCGCAAATCAGGACGCAGTTGATTCACTCTAACCTGGTCAAATCCTTTTGAAAAGTTAAGGCTTTGGCTGAACCGGTTACACCGTCACACTACTTGAATGGATAAGCTAAATGTATCTGGTTTATTTACATCTCAGGCACAGTTACTTGTGATTAGTAGTGCGGAATCATTGATAGTGAACTCGAATGATCATTGCGCAGACTTCATCTTCCCACACTACTCTAGTGAACCAGCTGACTATGATCTTGAGGAGCATATCACTGGAGTTTCACTTCACTTGAAGATCATGAGTGGTGCGTATCCAACTTCCAATCGGGGAGTCGAACTACTGAACTACTGAAAATAAAAGTAGTAATATTTTTCCACTCAGCTCACATGCTTCGTTGCACTTGTGGGTCACAGTAAAAGACCAGCAGTCATGAAAGAAGATGTTTGGACTCTGTTCGGATTCTGTTCAGATCACTTCGGGGGAAAGGGGTTGGTCGGCACATTCGCCAGGTCACCGCAGTTCAAAACCGGGGTAGAATTGTTTTGTTGCATCACTGA